GTAGGGGAGTGTAACAAGTCCGCGCTGGCAGGTCCCTGCAGATCGGTGGCGCTGGAACAGTTTTTAGAGCGGGGGTGCTTTTTACTTCGCACCCTCCCTTAGCTCGTCGGGGGTCCCCTCCAAAGGTAGGGCCAGTACTGGGCTGTGGCTGAGGGATGGGGATTGGGTGAAGGGAGCTAACGAGGCTAGGACCACAGCAGCTGGTGGGAACAGAGCCCTTGCCTGAGTCCTGGAGCCCGCCCGTGTGTAGGCTGGGAAGTAGAGCAAAGAAAAAGTAACTTGAATTTCTTATCAGTACTAGAAATGTAGCCGTGTTAGTCTGGGGTAGTTGAAGCAAAATGCAGGACAATGTAGCACTTTAAAGACTAACAAGATGGTTTATTAGATGATGAGCTTTCGTGGGCCAGACCCACTTCCTCAGATCAAATAGTGGAAGAAAGTAGTCACAACCATATATACCAAAGGATACAATTAAAAAAAAGAACAAATATGAAAAGGACAAATCACATTGCAGAACAGAAGGAGGAGGCGGGGGGGTGGGAAGGGGGAGGAAGGAAGGTAAGTGTCTGTGAATTGATGATATTAGAGGTAGGGAGAGTGGGATGTTTGTGAGTTAATGGTATTACAGGTGATAATTGGGGAAACTGTCTTGATAATGGGTGAGAAAGTTCAAAGACTTGTTAAGTCCCTGGTGGTAAGTGTCGAATTTTAACATGAATGACAGTTCAGAGGATTCCCTTTCAAGTGCAGATGTAAAAGGTCTTTGTAGCAGAATGCAGGTGGCTAAGTCATTTAGAGAGTGTCCTTTCTGGTTAAAGTGGCAAGAAACTGTTTTCTCTTTGTGATCTTGTCTGATATCTGTTTTGTGTGGGTGTGGGGGAGCTCAGGGATGGGGGTGAAGTTATGGAGAGCACAGGAGTTAGGGCAAGGGTTGGGGAACTGTGGAGAACTTGGAGGCTGATGGAGTCAAGGCAGGGTGAGGTCAGGGCAGAGAGTGGGGGTGGTGCAGGAGTCAGGGCAGAGGGCATAGGGATGTAGGAGACTCAAGGAAGGGGACTAGCGGGAGCTTGGGGCTGGGAGTGCAGCCACGGTGCTGCCTAACCATAGAGCCCCAGGCACAGAGCCCTGTGTGCAGGTCCTGTATCTGGGACTCTGTGTGTGGGGCTGGAAGCAGAGCCCCTGACATGGGTCCTGTATCCAGGACCCTGGGTATCCATGGGTCCTTTCTCCATAGGGAGAAGAGCCCCAGACAGGCATGAAGTCAGGTGCAGAGCCCCAGGTGTGGGGCCATTGGCAGCTGGCACCCCATGTGAAAACAGCAGGTGCTGCAGCACCCTTTGTACCGTGGAGATGTGAATGGCTGACCAGATAACTGGTAATCACCATGCTTGCTGAATGATGCTTTCTGGTTATGGTTAACTGGCGGGGGCTGGAGAAGCCCCCTGCCTGATGTGGGCATGGGACTGTTCCAATCCAGAGCGGTCTGCTGTAGACAAGGGCTGCACCTAGCCGGAGCAGCTCCCATCCATGGCGAGCCTGGCCAGAGCAGCATGACACAGGCTGGGGGCTGCCCCTGTTTAAGAAATTAACTGGTTAAACATAACGTTTAACCGGTTAACTGATTAAATGGAATTTTACATCCCTAGTGCACCTCTAGTTCCTGTGTCTATGCTACAGATACCAATTTCTCACAGTATAGGGTATCTGTTTATAAGCCGGGGGAGCAGCCACCAAGAAAAAAAACAGGAGTAAAGGGGAAGAATAAATGTGGGTGCAGCTGCTTCAAGAAAGATGGTGAAGGAAGCACAGAAGTCACAAGGCCAGGGGGCATGAGGAGGGTATAAGTAGAATTCCTCCACAAACACTGTTGTGATTTCCTTTAATACTTGCTTTCTTATTATTTTGTGTGTACTAGATGGAGAATCCCATGAGCCGTTTTTGTACCCAGTCATGTGACAATTTGGTAGTCGGTATTGTGGAGGACAGTTTCCTGTATTTTGCTTATGGCAGTAACCTGTTGCAGGAGAGGATCCGGCTTAAAAATCCATCTGCCGTTTTCTGTTTCATAGCCATTTTGCAGGTCTGTGTCTATGAGTGAGATGGAAACTGGTATTCTCCTTTCTTTCCCCTTTTCTTTTGCATATACCAAAGAAATGTATTCTTAATCTGTGTTTTTAATTATGATTTCAGGAATCTGGGGAGGAGACATAGCTGCTATGTAAGCGTAAATGTTATATTTCACTAACAATTTTGAAGCCCTATAGAATTTTGAGGGATGCTTTGTGAAGCTCTAAGTTCATGTCTGAACAAGACTTGTGAAATGTTACTGATGCCTTCACTATACTGCTTCATAGGCTACCTGGATTGAGAATACTCTTGATCATGTAAACTGGCAGAGTTCTGAGTATTTAGAGCCCCCCCCAGGCACCCTTATATGCTCAACCTGTAGGTTATCCTCCAGGGAGGCAGACTGAAATCAGTATTGGTGAAGATCTACAAATGAGTCTCTGAAATAATGGAGGGTGCATGACTAAAATGCTAAAATCCAATTGACTGGTTAAGAGTTGTATCCAGTCCTTTTATTTTTTAAAACAACCAGTGTTAGCAGATCAAATTTTTTACCTTGGTTAAAACTATGAGGAAAACTGTGCTGACGTTTTATGCTGTTTGATAGCTTAGATCTGCTTAAAATGTAATGCAATGAAGATGTCAGAGAACTTCTTGGAAAAATATTTTGCTACATAAGGAAATTTCTTCATGAGAGAGAACTTCTGTTGAAACTGGTAAGAGTTCAGCTGAATTAAGAGGACTTCTCATGCCAGAATAAAGAGGAATAGCTCAGTGGTTTGAGTATCGGCCTGCTAAACCCAGGGTTGTGAGTTCAATCCTTGTGGAGGCCATTTAGTGAAATGGGGGCAAAAGTTTGTCAGGGATGGTACTTGGTCCTGCTGTGAAGGCAGGGGACTGGACTTGACCCTTCAAGGTTCTTTCCAGTTCTAGGAGATAGACAATCTCCATTAATTTTGTATAAGTGAGAAATCTGAAAGTGCTTATTAGATCAAATTTTTCATTAAAAGCTAGATGAGCTCTCATACTCAAGAAATTTTTATTCTAGGCTAAGAAGTTACTAATTTCTCATTTTTCTTATGCCTCAGTATTGTAATCTGTATGGTATTCTTTGAAGGGCTTACCACTCAAAGTGATGCTGCTTACCAAGACTGCCGATGGGGTGGGCAAAAAGGGCAATTTCCCTGGGGCTGGGCGATTAAAAGGGGCTTGGGGCTCTTGGCTGGCACTACTACAGCAGCAGCTGGAGCCCCAGGCCCTTTAAATTACCACCAGAGTCCCATGCAGTGCACTGCAGAGTCCTAAATGGCATGCTCTCGATGGCGCTGGGGGAGGGGACTGAGGTTGGAGCACTGAGGACTGGCTGCGCTAGCCCCGCCCCTTCTGCCTAAGGCCCCTCCCCTTCTAGACGTACAGAGCCATCCTCCCTTTCCTAGGGGACCAGTGAGTTTGTCGACTTACCACTTGTTTCAACAATCTCCACTGAGGCTGGAACGACGTCCTCTGAAGTTTCTTCCTGGACAAACTGGTTGCTGAAAGGAAACCGGGACAACTCAATTTCTTAGCGATAAATAGATGGCTGCAAGCCTCTCCTTCTCCAGAGAGAGGGTAATGCTCAGTAAGGGTACGTCTACACTGCACCCTTAGCTTGAAATAAGCTACGCAATTTGAGCTACACAAATTGTATAACTTCTTTTAAATTAATTTCAAAATAACTTATTTTGTAATTTTCAAAATAAACGGCTATTCCGAAATGTCCCTTAATCCTTGTGGAATGAGGTATACAGGGATGTCCCTGGCCAGCTGGAGCATGGGGGAGGGAGCTTGGGGGAGGGAGGCTCCGGCAGCGTGCTGCTCCTGCACTGGAAGACCCCAGAGGTTATAGGGTGGGGGGCTGTTCACACCCTTCACACACACAACCTGCATTAACTAGTAGAAAGGCTTTGGAGTCATTACACTGTATTAAGAATAATTAAATTACATGTCAAACCAGAAAAATGTAATTGGGAAAAATGAGCATGTGACAGCATAAATGAATAAGTGTTTTTTTATCAGAATGAGTGGTTTGTGCAGAAGAATTTTCTTGTTAGTGTTATTTTTTAAAGATATGTGTGATTTTCATGAACAGTAGGACTAAAATCACTGGTTTGAGCCAACTTAATACTGGTGGGAACAATGCAGGTGTAAATTCCACACAAAAATGCTGCTACACAGCAGTCTTGGTATGACATAAACATAGAAATGTCATTCTGCTACTCTTGGACCTCCCTTGACTGGAGGCTGCCAGTTGTGGTCATTCGTGTGGCTTTTTTGTGGTAAGACCAAAAGAGGAGAATAAATTTGAAGTACTTAACTTAAGGCATCTAAGACTATAAGTGGAGAACCCAAGAATGGAGGTACTCAAAATTAGTGGACACGAACGAAAATCTTAATGTCATACAGGGTGGCTCTTCCTTCCAAATATCTTTAGTGTGCCACCTGTACTGATTTGTATTTTCTTTGTGACTTTTCAAGATCATGCATCACATTTTTTCTCTTAAGTTTAACCATTCATGCCTGCTTGATGGTTGAAGTGAAGTATTTGACGTAACTTGTAAAGAACAAATCAATCTTCTTTATGGCGTTAACTGTGTTTTAACTTTTGGATGTTTATTACAATTCGTGTTGTTCACGTGGTTTCCACACACACACACACACACCCAAAAAGGACTAGATAGTGCCATTGAGGCCCAGCCTTGTTTTGGCTGCAGAGCTACTCTGCTTTGGACGGAGCACTGTGAAATCTGCCTGAGTTTCCCCCAGTGAACAGTGGCCCATCAGACATAGCTCACTCCCTCGCTGCATTGCTCCCCCTCCCCTTCCCCCTGCCCCATTATCTCGGTCCTGGGAGAGGGGGAGAAGTGGTGCACTTCTGTCTTTCTCCTGCTTGTCGGAGTATTGGAGAGGGAGGCTGAGGCAACGCACCATCCCAGGTTTCTCCAGCTCAGCTGGAATCAGCCTCATGGGGGACCATGTAGGACCATTGGGCGGAGGGATGTTTGCACCCTTCACACTCCCCTGCATACTAGGCCTGATCTAGCATGCACACACAAAAAGTTGTGTGAAGGCTTTTTGCCTAAATCCAATCTTCAGCTTGCTTTATCGTTTTTTGGGTTATGGAGTAAATATACTGTGCAGCAATGTTATGATCTGGCTCTCAATTTCTGGTGGTTTTGAAAAGACCTGTGTCCTAGATGTACAGTGGGCTAAGAACACAAACTGGGTTTGGTCAATTGCTCTATACTGATTCAGTTATACTGTGTTTCAAAAAGAGCTGAGATCTCAGAATGAAAAGGCACTATTTGGATAATAGTTGACTTCAGAGGTAATTTGCGTACTGTGAAACTGGGTACGGGTAGAGAGTAAAATCAGCTTTGGAATAAAAGGTTAAGGGGACTGAACAGGAGTGTTAACTTTGACAAAGAAGCAAGGGAGGGTGTAAAAATTACAATCTGAATTTGAGGGGTGACTGGGGGATGGGAATTCGTGATTATAGTAAATGCGCACGAGGAAATACACGAAGGATAATTCAGCTAAAATTGGATCAACATTTAGGAGAGGGACAAAGAAAAAAATTAAGGGTATGAGCCCAGTAGTGCCCAGGGACTTTATTGCTCTTAATTCCAATAGGCACTAGAGGTGCTGAGTACTTTGCAGAGTCAGGACCACAGTGGTCTTAAAACAGGAAAATCTTAAGAAATTATCAAAAAATAATTTATTAAAGTATCCTTAATGTGCTGGGCTCTGTACATAACCCGAAAGGCATCCTCTTTAAGGGAAGGAGAGCCCTATTCTGCAAACACTTACCCGCATCTCACTTTTTGCCTTTGACTTCAGTAGGGCTACTGGCATGCATACAGATACTCATGCTTGAATTTGCAGGATCTAGCCTAGAGTCTTGAGTAATATACAAGAGTCTGGTGACCCTTACACTCTTAAAGCACTTCGTAGCAACTCATGGAATGGCTGAGGATGAGTGTATGAGTGTATATAATGTTTTTATTTTAGAGAGCTCTTTGAGAAGTTCCTTTTTGGAGGTTTTAATTGCATCTTCTAGTATAGGGGGCATATCTTGCAAAACCGTCTGTTGCATCCTCAAGGTTTATTGAAAATTAGACAAGTCTCCAAAGTGCAGACTCGACTTTTTTAGCCCTCCCAATTTCAAAAATATTTCAGAGATTGAAAAACATATTTTAAGAGTTGGCTCACTTCAGAATTTAAAATCCTTAAGTAAGGACACTGTAAAGGAACTTCAGTTTGAAATATAGTCAGTTTAAAAAAAGGAAGGGAGGAGCTTAAATGTAGTTTAAAGAAGGTTGCTTGGTCTTGAATAGGGCCCATGCAAGCTGCAAACTGGCTGACAAGTGATTCATCACACAGACTAGGTCTACACTACAGTTGTTTTTCCGCAAAAATTCCCGGAGTGTCCACACCTCAAGTGCGTTTTTGCGCAAGTAAATCGAAAGATCAGAGGGGTTTTTGTGCAATTGGTAATCCTCATTCTATGAGGAAGAATGCCTTTTTGTGCAAGAAGGCATGTATAAATGGAGAAAAGGGTTTTTTTGCGCAAGAAGAGGGAAGAGGGGGAAAAGCACAGGTGCCCTGCTGGCCATTCTGTCCATAGCAATCACTGCTTACTTGCGAGAGAGCATCCAGGCAGTTTGGACGCTCTCTTTCACAAAAGTGCATTGCTTTTTCAATGCGCTTTTGCAGTGTGGGCGCGCTCTTGCGCAAGAAGCTTTTGCGGAAGATCTCTTCTGACAAAAGTTTCTTGCACAAGAAGCCTGCAGTCTAGATGTAGACCCAGTGTGCTGAATGCTGTCCAGAGCACGAAGTAAAACTGAAAAAAAAATGAGGAAAAGTTTCCTGTATTTAATTTTATAGGAAACTTTATGGTAAACTTGGGTGCTATTTGTGAGAATAGGAGGTGTGTGAAGTATCTCAATTTTGTTCCTACAGTGGGTTAAAAAAAACTGATGAAAATATCCCTTAGAAGTCACTCATCTTCTATTCTCAGAAGTAACACCCAAAAAATATTCTAACTGAAAAGCTTAGAAACTTTTTTCCCACTTGCTTTGTGCGTTTGATAGTACTTTCTGTTACTCAGTTTTTTTGGTCAGTTTCAGTTCCTTTCTTTTCTCATATGCTAGCATGAGGACTTCTCACATGCCCTGTTTGGCACCACTCAGACTTACTCTTCCTTATGCACTTCAAGAAGCTTTCATGATTAACAGCAGCACCAGAAAAAGAATTAAGCAGCTGACACAGAAAAGCATGCATGTACACAGAGAAGAAGGGGACAAGGAGGAGTACTGGACCCTAACAGGTGTGATGCTGTGGCTCTCAGCCCCACTCCTCCCCCCGCTGGAAAAAAAACCCTTCTAAACATCTGAAGGGCAGCAGAAAATCATTTCAGAAATGGGATTTGAACTTCAAAAAGTTACTGACATCCCCTTGTATTTCATTTAGAATGCATCTATTGTATTGAGATGAGGTTCTTGCTCTTTCCTTGCCAATCTCATTTTCTAGCAACTCTGTTGTTTGGCCTAAAAATAGAGATATATCCAGATCTGGGAACATATTTCACAGTGCAGTTCCATTACAAATGAACCTACCATAGCTTTCTTCCAGACCTCCTACTGAAGTCTGTAGAAAACATCCAATTAAACACAGAGAGAGCTGGATCACATTGTTAATGAAGGAAAAGTAACTTCCTTGTGGTTATTCTGGCTTTTCTTGTAGAAAGCTTAAACTAGTGCTTTGTTAAGAAAACCCAAATCACTGAGGTTAAGTGGAAATTGATCATTTGCATTGGTTTAATTTGCAGGATTTTAAACTCATTTTTGGCCATCATCAAGGCAAAGCAACTTCTTACTGGCATGGAGGTGTAGCTACCATTGTTCAAAGCCCTGGAGACGAAGTGTGGGGAGTAGTGTGGAAAATGAACACTAGCCATTTAAATTCTCTGGATAAGTAGGTGATTTATAATTTTAATGTCTTATCATTTTAAGTAAGCCAAATGCAATTGTTATTTTTCAGTAATCCAAGTGGTGAGTTTGTTTTGGATCAGGGAGAAAGCATCGGATTCTAAAACAAACTTAACTCAGTTTTGGAAGTTGATAATCTGTTTTAACTTTTGAAAAGCAAAAGAACTTTAAAGAAGGTCTTTAATACCTGGAGGAGATTCTGAACTGTTGAACTGACTTTAAAAAATTGTCACACTTTCTTTCCACATTTACTAATTATGAAAGTTCTTTGAGCAAGGTTTTCTGCCTTCGCAGCCCCATTATCTGTTTTGTCCTGCAGCGGAGCGGAGATGATACTGACTTTGACATTGGGATTCCTACATCAGTAGACAGATATGAGCACCATGCTTAGATCTTGGGTTCCAGCTGGAGGAAGATGAGCTAGGCTGCACAGTTGAGAACCAGCTCTTCGATGCTAGCGAAGGGAGCTCTTGGAAGAGCCACTAATACAGCAATTTCCTATGCTTGCCACAGATTTTTGAAATGTTTGCTTTGAGGTTAGTCCAAATTATGAAATAACTAGGGAGCAGACTAAGAAACTCTTGTGGCGGTGCCATTCAGATCTCTAAAATGATGAGCATGGGAACTGTGAATTGACGTAATTATCCCTCCTAATACAAACCTGTCCTGCCCCTGTTCAGTGACAACTTAGCTCTGCCACTTTTCAAATTGTTTATCTGCCTGTATGTGTGCTGGAGAGCATTGAGGCAGTATATAACAAAAGCCTCAGAAAATCATCCCACTCTTTTGCAGGCGCCCTAATAAGGATATAGGAGCATAGCTTTAGGCACTGTTGGAAACTTTGGCCAGAGCTCTGTACTTCTTGTTTGTTACAGCTTTTAATGGTCTTGTCTATAAAACTGAAATTTCAGCTTGCACATTAAGGGTGTGTAATGAGTCTAAATCTGCAAGGGGAAGAATGCTCTCAGCTGCCATTGACTTCATCACCTCACACAATCAGGCCCATTGTGAACACTTTCAGGAGTTGAGGAATAAAATGAATGTTAAAAAGTTTAGTTTGGAGACACTGGAATTAGATTAAATCGGAGCAGTAAGTTACCGCGTGTACTTCTCACTGGGAAGCATTCCTATCCCAGTTCTTTTCTGTCCCTTTCTCCTCACAATGCTGATCCTACTATTGACTTCTCTCTCTTTTCTACAGCATCTTAACTGTTGTCATGCTTTCCTGAAACCTAACATATGGCACACACCTAAAGAGCCATTAATTGTTTCTATCTGAGGGAAGATTGTACCCTGACCAACACTATCAGGAAAGAATAGGTTGATTGGTAAATTCTTGTAATTTAATAAATATAATATATGGAGATATACTATTTCATAGATCTGGAAGGGACCTTGAGAGGTCATTAAGTCCAGTCCCCTACCCTCACAGCAGGACCAACTACCATCCCTGACAGATTTACCTGCGATTCCTAAATGGCTCCCTCAAGGATTGAGCTCACCCCCTGGGTTTAGTAGGCTAATGCTCAAACCACTGAACTATTCCTCTCCCCAATTTGTATTGTGGGATCTTAAATCACTTGCTCTTATTTTTTTAAAATTAGTTTTAATTCTAGTGAAAGTACCTGCTTGGCAGCTCTGGAGACTTGACTGCTCAAACTCAACAGAAATGTTACAGGAAGAGCATTTGTATTGCTGACTCGGTGCCCTGACAAGTTACTAATATGTCCTATAGATGATCTGATAGAGGAAAGAAACTGGATTTGTCCTCCTTTTTGCTTCTTTATGACCTATAAGGAAAACATGATTTAAATTAAAGAAAATCTAGTGCTAATCTTTTCATTGGATAGTCAGGTTTTATCTCCCCCATCTTCCTAGTGATGGGGTATAATTATGATGGAGTAACCATGAAGTGAAAAGTGATGGAGCAGAAAACGTTTTTATTGGATGTTAAAAATTGGCATTTTGTGTCTGTTAATAGACATTTTTTCTCTTTCTGCACACCTTGCCCTCTAGAAATAAAGTAATTACCAGCTTTTTACCTGTTAAAATACTTAAATTGGCTTTTGTTCTGATAACGTGGCAGTGTCCTTGTGAGGACTATGGCTCCAATCCTGCAAAGGCTTACGTTACGTGTACACTATGGATCTTACAATGGCACAGCCGTATCACTACAGTTATGCTGCTGTAAGGTCATCTGTGGGTTTTTTCACACCCTTGAGTTACAAAAGTTCTACTCGGGTGAAAGTAATGTAAATTTCTTACAGGTACTGGCCTATCGCCACCCGGGTCTCTGCTGGTTTTTGCTGCAGCTCAGTCAGTTCTTGCTGGAGCTGTGCAGTAGGCAGCACCCCCTTACTTTCACCTCTGGTTCTAGTGTAGACAAAGCCTTAAATGATAAATAAACAGATCAAATAGT